ACTTGGAGAAGGAAAATCAATATCTGGAAAAATTAATCAAAAATAAATTTTGCACATCCCACTAGTTTGTAAAACACAACATACTACAGAATACAGTAGATATAATTTGCTAGTTTCTGAGATATCCCTAATTCTGGGCCAGTGGTAAACTTTTGACACTGCACATAACCCATCAGTTATGTCATTTATAAACTTTGTTTACATGATGGAATAACTTTAGAAAAACATTAATTTTTTTTTGTTTCTATTGTACTGGTATTAGTTGTCTGAATCATAATGACTGTGATCAGTTATTTAAGTAATGTGCCTTAAATATTCAGTTCATCATTAACTAACCTTTCACTGGAGAAGAAACATTAGTCATGTCCAGTCTCTTTTGTGCCCGAATGCTTTTCAAAGTCTTAGGAGAGGGAGGAATCTCAACACGGTCTGAGACTGGAGGATCGGCAAAACTGACCCGTCTATATTTTGCAGGTGGCGGTGAAGGCGTTTCTCTATCTGTGATACACAAATTAGATGTGAATTCCTAATACAACTTAAGATCTTGTTTGCTATTAGACTAGATACAATTTTAAACTATAAAACTTTACTAAATTAAAAAAGGTAAATACAGTACTACACGGTATAATATATGGCAAAGCAGACCTTAACAAACCTATCGTCTCATGAAAATAAGAATTAAGACAATCAGTTTCATCAGTCATTTCATAAATTCACCAGCATAAAGAACCAATTGAGTGGTCATTACCAGGAAATTACAAGAACAATACAGTAGCTACAGAGCACTATTACTATTATTTTATATGCAAAGGAAAGAATTAAACCTATAATGATCATAAAGAGCTCTAGATATGATTAAACAGCATAAAAATAACCAGGGAAAATGTCTTTTTTTTTTTTTAACGCGCAGGGTGACCAAAAATAAAAATACTTTCACCATCATTCACACTATCACTGTCTTTGCAGAGGAGTGCAGACATGACAGTTTAGATGTCAGGAAATATCTCAAACCCCTCCTTTAAAGTTCAGGCATTGTACTCCCACCTCCAGGCTAACCAGTTTCCCTGAATCCCTTCACAAAGTATTACCCTGCTCATACTCCAACAGTTCATCAAGTCCCAAAAACCACTTGGCTCCACTCACACATGCCTGCTTTATGTCCAAACCCCTTGCACACAAAATCTCTTTTACCCCCTCCTTCCAGAAGAAATGTCTTGTATCCCCATAAATTTGATGATACTGTAAAACAAGACTGATGTAGAATACAATCTATGTACTTTTCTAATCACTGTACAGTGAACTTACAACACAATTTTTTTAGCAAAACCTGCTAAATACAGTGAAAGCAAATTATTGCCTAACAATTTTAGTGAGTTGGTCCGCATGTAATTTTGCACCATCTTGGGAATTTGATGTTTCAAGACTGTCTAAGGTACCTGCAAGGAGAATTCTCCCAGCCATCATGCTTCAGTTTTCCAGTCACTTAAATGTAATGTTTTCTACCAAAATTACACACGTACACCCCAAGTTACAAATATTTCTATTTAAAAATCAGAAACCTAAGAACCAATTGAAGTTTACTACAACTGTGCCACAGTACAAAAAGATGATGTGCATGAAACTTAACCATTCTTGTACTATTGTTTTTTATATGAACTTGTGTGTAAATTAAAAAACCAGTGTGCAATTCAATTCACTTGTGTATTGGGGATCTCTCATTCTAGTTCAGTTAAAACAAAATTCTACATACTGTTATTACAGTAATTACACAAAGTGGAAGTGTTACCCACTGATGCTATCATCCAAAGTAGCTTTTTTCAAGATGCTTGGTGAAGGAGACGCTCCTGGGGAAGGTTCATGTTTCATCCAAGGACGATCACTGTCACTGAAGAAGAAGGCAAAAACCTTTACTCTACACACTAGCTGAGGAACTACTGCTGTTAAATAATCATCAGTGGTAAACCTTAAAGGCTGGTCAATATACAGCACACTGTTATATTATTCGTAACTAGTTTTGGATATTTATGAATATCTAAAGTGCAATGAACACTTGTCAGTTATCGACAATAACCCACATGCAGACAAACTCAGGGGATTAATTGATCTGTATATTTTGACCCCCCTTCTGGGATCCTCTTGTATAAAGCAACTCACCTGTCACATATTTTCCTCTTACGACTTGGAGGAGTACTAGGAGAGAAACGACCTGGTGTGCTTCTTCTATAAGGCGAGCCACTGTGACGATGCCGTGATGCATCACCTAGGAAGAAATAAATTACTACTGCACTTCAAAGATTAAAAGTTTCAATACCGTGGCTGGGACAATTCACAAATACTTAACAAATTGGAGATAAGTCTGCTAAACATTCAAGTTATTTCCATTAAGGCATGGTGACAAAGAAGAATATACATTCATTCTTTTTTTTTTTTTTTCAACAAGTCGGCCGTTTCCCACCGAGGCAGGGTGACCCAAAAAAGAAAGAAAATCCCCAAAAAGAGAATGCTTTCATCATCATTCAACACTTTCACCACACTCACACATAATCACTGTTTTTGCAGAGGTGCTCAGAATACAACAGTTTAGAAGCATATATGTATAAAGATACACAACATATCCCTCCAAACTGCCAATATCCCAAACCCCTCCTTTAAAGTGCAGGCATTGTACTTCCCATTTCCAGGACTCAAGTCCGACTATATGAAAATAACCGGTTTCCCTGAATCCCTTCACTAAATATTACCCTGCTCACACTCCAACAGATCGTCAGGTCCCAAGTACCATTCGTCTCCATTCACTCCTATCTAACACGCTCACGCACGCTTGCTGGAAGTCCAAGCCCCTTGCCCGCAAAACCTCCTTTACCCCCTCTCTCCAACCCTTTCGAGGATGACCCCTACCTCGCCTTCCTTCCCCTATAGATTTATATGCTTTCCATGTCATTCTACTTTGATCCATTCTCTCTAAATGACCAAACCACCTCAACAACCCCTCTTCTGCCCTCTGACTAATACTTTTATTAACTCAACACCTTTTCCTAATTTCCACACTCCGAATTTTCTGCATAACATTTACACCACACATTGCCCTTAGACAGGACATCTCCACTGCCTCCAACCGTCTCCTCGCTGCTGCATTTACCACCCAAGCTTCACACCCATATAAGAGTGTTGGTACTACTATACTTTCATACATTCCCTTCTTTGCCTCCATAGATAACGTTTTTTTGACTCCACATATACCTCAATGCACCACTCACCTTTTTTCCCTCATCAATTCTATGATTAACCTCATCCTTCATAAATCCATCCGCCGACACGTCAACTCCCAAGTATCTGAAAACATTTACTTCTTCCATACTCCTCCTCCCCAATTTGATATCCAATTTTTCTTTATCTAAATCATTTGATACCCTCATCACCTTACTCTTTTCTATGTTCACTTTCAACTTTCTACCTTTACACACATTCTCAAACTCATCCACTAACCTTTGCAATTTTTCTTTAGAATCTCCCATAAGCACAGTATCATCAGCAAAAAGTATCTGTGTTAATTCCCATTTTGAATTTGATTCCCCATAATTTAATCCCACCCCTCTCCCGAACACCCTAGCATTTACTTCTTTTACAACCCCATCTATAAATATATTAAACAACCATGGTGACATTACACATCCCTGTCTAAGACCTACTTTTACTGGGAAGTAGTCTCCCTCTCTTCTACACACCCTAACCTGAGCCTCACTATCCTCATAAAAACTCTTTACAGCATTTAGTAACTTACCACCTATTCCATATATACTTGCAACATCTGCCACATTGCTCCCCTATCCACTCTATCATATGCCTTTTCTAAATCCATAAATGCAATAAAAACTTCCCTACCTTTATCTAAATACTGTTCACATATATGCTTCAATGTAAACACTTGATCTACACATCCCCTACCCACTCTGAAACCTCCTTGCTCATCTGCAATCCTACATTCTGTCTTACCTCTAATTCTTTCAATTATAACCCTACCGTACACTTTTCCTGGTATACTCAATAAACTTATTCCTCTATAATTTTTACAATCTCTTTTGTCCCCTTTCCCTTTATATAAAGGGACTATACATGCTCTCTGCCAATCCCTAGGTACCTCACCCTCTTTCATACATTTATTAAACAAAAGTACCAACCACTCCAACACTATATCCCCCCTGCTTTTAACATTTCTTTCATGATCCCATCAGTTCCAGCTGCTTTACCCCTTTTCATTCTACGTAATGCCTCGCGTACCTCCCCCACACTTACATTCTGCTCTTCTTCACTCCTAAAAGATGGTATACCTCCCTGACCAGTGCATGAAATTACCGCCTCCCTTTCTTCCTCAACATTTAAAAGTTCCTCAAAATATTCTCGCCATCTACCTAATACCTCCCTCTCCCCATCTACTAACTCCCCTACTCTGTTTTTAACTGACAAATCCATACTTTCCCTAGGCTTTCTTAACTTGTTTAACTCACTCCAAAATTTTTTCTTATTTTCATTAAAATTTCTTGACAGTGCCTCTCCCACTCTATCATCTGCTCTCCTTTTGCACCCTCTCACCTCTTCACCTTTCTTTTACTCTCCATATACTCTGCTTTTCTTATAACACTTCTGCTTTGTAAAAACCTCTCATAAGCTAACTTTTTCTCTTTTATCACACCCTTTACTTCATCATTCCACCAATCACTCCTCTTTCCACCTGCCCCCACCCTCCTATAACCACAAACTTCTGCCCCACATTCTAATACTGCATTTTTAAAACTATTCCAACCCTCTTCAACCCCCCACTACTCATCTTTGCACTAGCCCACCTTTCTGCCAACAGTCGCTCATATCTCCCCCGAACTTCCTCCTCCCTTAGTTTATACCCTTTCACCTCCCTCTTACTTGTTGTTGCCACCTTCCTCTTTTCCCATCTACCTCTTACTCTAACTGTAGCTACAACTAAATAATGATCTGATATATCAGTTGCCCCTCTATAAACATGTACATTCTGGAGCCTACCCATCAACCTTTTATCCACCAATACATAATCTAACAAACTACTTTCATTACATGCTACATCATACCTTGTATATTTATTTATCCTCTTTTTCATAAAATATGTATTACTTATTACCAAATCTCTTTCTACACATAGCTCAATTAAAGACTCCCCATTTACATTTACCCCTGGCACCCCAAATTTACCTACTACTCCCTCCATAACATTTTTACCCACTTTAGCATTGAAATCCCCAACCACCATTACTCTCACACTTGATTCAAAACTCCCCACGCATTCACTCAACATTTCCCAAAAACTCTCTCTCTCCTCTACACTTCTTTCTTCTCCAGGTGCATACACGCTTACTATAACCCACTTTTCACATCCAATCTTTATTTTACTCCACATAATGCTTGAATTAATACATTTATAGTCCCTCTTTTCCTGCCATAGCTTATCCTTCAACATTATTGCTACTACTCCTTTAGCTCTAACTCTATTTGAAACCCCTGACCTAATCCCATTTATTCCTCTCCATTGAAACTCTCCCACCCCCTTCAGCTTCGTTTCACTTAAAGCCATGACATCCAGCTTCTTCTCATTCATAACATCCACAATCATCTCTTTCTTATCATTTGCACAACATCCACGCACATTCAGACTTCCCACTTTGACAATTTTCTTCTTCTTATTCTTTTTAGTAATCTTTACAGGAAAAGGGGTTACTAGCCCATTGTTCCCGGCATTTTAGTTGACTTTTACAACACGCATGACTTACGGAGGAAAGATTCTTATTCCACTTCCCCATGGATATAAAAGGAAAAGTAATAAGACCGACCAAGAACTATTAAGATAAATATACATTCACCTTCACTTATTCCTTAGCTACCTTCCAGAAGAGCACAGATACCATGACTCAACTATTACCCAGTGAATTGTTACATCCTAATCTCTCTAAGAGTTCAAAGAGTTCAAGAACCATAATCATTGTGCCAGGTTATATGGCACTTTCAGGTGGAAGCAAGGGATGAGAAAATTGACCATGGTGAGGTGTGACCTGATCTACATTGGCCTCATTTACCAAGACTAACAAGCATTTTGAGGAGATTACCAGATATGGGTACAAATTACTATTTCATCTAAACTGCCCTTCAGACTAATTAGTTTTTCATGCAATTCACAAGAACTTAAAACTGCAAAATGAGATGGATTGAAACTTTCAAAGAAAAATTAATATTTACGATCATAGCTGGTTAAGTAATCCTTATCGTCAACAGTGACCATCAGGAAAGGACCTTCAGGAAAGCTGAGTTTTTGTGACATTCTTACATTCACGGAGAGAGCACTAAGCCCATAGTGGTCATATAGCACTTAGGGAAATGGCAGGCATTTAAGTTCAATTCAAGTAAGGGAACACTAGTCCAATTCCTTAGATCAAGAGTCCCTTACCAGCATCAAGGAACCTCCCTGAAAGAAGTTATGAGAAAAGTTAACTCAAGATTCTTTTGTTACACTTCTGGTCCCAGTTGTGGGGTAAGCCTGCTGTGTTGCAAGGTCCTTTATTTCTCTTTCCAACTGCTTATGATTTCAAGAAAGGCTTTAGTGTCTGGTTCCAAATCAAGATGTACAAAATCTTATAACCTGCATTGTGATCACTATCAATAATCAATCAGGGACAAAAGAACTAACTGAGTAGTGCAACATTATGGCTGTCACTGAACCATGGAGAATTTCTATTATATTCCTTCTTACAGATTTTTCTTCAATATTCAGCTCAAATATATATATCTTGTATGCTAATAAATCAGTGTCAGTTATTTAATCATTACCACCATCAAAAACAGGTTTACTATTTTTAATAGTCCTGCTGCCTGTTTTCTTTTATGTAGAGAGACATACTTTACATATGTATATCTGAAGTAAGGGCTGCATGCCAGTGATTATAGGTTGAAATGTGATTCTTAAAAAAAAAAAAAAAAAATCTATATTAAAACTGTACTTCCACTGGTGCCAGAAGCCAGCCAATCAAATGAACTTAGTTAATGAATAGTCCCAATTAATGTTAAGATACATTCTTTCAAAAAAATTGGCCATCTCCCACCAAGGCTGGGTGACCCAAAAAGAAAGACACCCTTTCAACATATTTCACACATAATCAATGTCTTTGCAGAAACACTCAGATACAACAGTTTAGGTGTCACTCAAAACAGCCAATATCCCAAACCCCTTCTTTAAAGTGCAGGCTTTGTACTCCCCACCTCCAGGACTCAAGTCTAGCTAACCAGTTTTCTTGAATCCCTTCACAAAATATTACTCTGCTCACACTCAACAGATCATCAGGTCCAAAAACCATTCATCTCCATTCCCTATCTAATATGCTCACACATGCCTGCTGTATGTCCAAGCCCCTTGCACACCTCTTTTACCCCCTTCCACCATCATTTCTTAGGATGGAGGGGGGGTTATTTTGCTCCATCCTCTCAATGACCAAACCACCTTAACAACCCCTCTTCAGCTCTCTGAATGATACCTTTAGTAACTCCACACCTAATTTCCACACTATGAATTCTCTGCATAGTATTTACACCACACATTGCCCTTAGACACATCTCCACTGCCTCCAGCCTCTTCCTTGCTGCAGAATTTACAACCTATGCTTCACACCCATATATAAGTGTGTTGGTACCATTACAATTACCTATGAACTGTATGATAAAAAAAAACTAAATAAAATTACATACCTCCACATTTAGATGGTGATTCTCCTTCATTTGTTCCTCGATTTCTTATGTTTTGCTTTGCACAGGCAACCAGCATTGCTGCTCGAGATCCAGCATATTTAAATGTACCTTTCTTTTTTTGTCTTTCTGGTGTACTGACTGCTGAATGCAGTCTTGACATACAGGGCTTCTCAGGCGAGAGTTCCTCCTCCTGTTGCCTAGCTGTTAGACTGAACTCCACGAGCATCTTCCCAAAACCTTTATTACTGCTGTCCATGTTACTACCTACTTTTTGCAACTCATCATTATTAGAGTTTTCTGAATCATTTACCAGTATCTTTCCTGAATTCTCCATCTCATTCACACCCTTTTCTGAATCTCCTACACATGTTACATGAGAATTCTTTGAATAGTTGTCTTTTTCTGAACTTGGTTTCTTTAAATCTTTGCTGCTAATTTCTGAACTCTTGCCACTTAATTTTTGTGAAGTTTTAACACAATCTTCAGAATTTTTTTCAATATAGACATCAGAATATGTATTTACTGATGCCTCTATAACCTTCTCTGAACATAATTCCTCTAAATTCATAGCCTTCCCAAAGTCCTGTTGGTGTGTACTGTGAGAGCCATTAATCATTTCACTCTCTCTTATACATTCTACACTCTTTGCATCTCCTGATTTATCAGCATTACAATCAATTACCCTGGCATTATATTTTTCAGGAATTTCATTTAGCTGTTCATCCACTGCTTGTCCACATTCAAAAGAACTGGATTCTTCAGAGAGAGAATCAACTTTCTCTTGCATTACACCCTTGATCTTCGTCTCTACTACAGGTAGCACATTTTCTGACATTAATTCTTGTGGTTCCATGGCTCTGTGTGGCTCACAATTTTCACCCATTTCTACATCACTTATTTCAGATCTATCATTTGTAGGAGGGACTGCATTATTCTCATTATCAATTTCAGTAGATGTGTGAGCCTTAGTTTCTCTTACTTTAGAATAACTGAAGGATTTTTTAAGGCTTTTATCGCACTCTATCGTTTCTTTATTTTTACAATCTGCACTATTGCTTTCACTGTCTACATCTATAACACTTTCATTATTTTTTCCTTCATTACTTAGTACGACATTATCCTTCAGGGGCTCCTTTGTGGAAGATGACTGCTCAGATTTTTGAGCCACTGTAGGAGTTGAGACATTTCTCTGTACAGCATGTACTGACTGATCTATATCAGTATCACCGTCAATATCTGATGATGTTGATTCGTCCTTTTTGGGAGCATAATCGTCTTTATCTTCATCATAAAGCTGCGAATCATTTATATCGTCCATTTCTGGAAGAGCATCACCATCTTCAGAATCATCACTAGCTTCTACTTCAAATATTTTCTTGTCATTTTTGCTAAACATATCTGTGATTTTCTTTTGGACAGATTTTTTTGGATATATACTTTCCTGAGAAGATAAAGCCTCTGTTACTTTAGGAACACAATCTCCTACATAAGACACCACTAGTAAGTCTTGTGATGATTTTTTCTTTTTGGAACTAGAACTACCAGGGGGTGTCATAGGCTCTGGCATGTCTCTATTTGGGGCTACAACTTTCCGTCCAGATCTAGTAACTTTGGTTGGGGTGCAGTAGGATGAAGTGCCTTCGCTACGATCAAAATTACTTTGGCTGTCTGAAGAATTTTGAGAATTCTTGCGAGTAGGCATCTTCCTGGAATTTTTTCCAGGCATTTCTTCACTAACTATTTGCTGCTTTTGATTTTCCTTGCCTTTTCTTTGACCTCCTATTCGTTGATCTTGCTGCTGTTCTTCAATATTTTCTTCAATTAATACCACAGAATCTTCACTTGAGCTCCTCTTCTCCACAGGCATTTGTCCAGTTATTTCTTCTACTTTCTGTTTCTTGTCTAGGTTTACTGCCAAATCACATTCCTCTGGCAAATTTCGCTTTCTTTTTGCCTTTATTAATCTTGTACTTGTATTGCTCTCCATAACTCCTTCAACAGACCTGCTTTTACATGAAGAAACTGTAGCCTCTCTTTTACTGAAAGACATGAAAGAATCAGTTACCCCATTCACCTGAGAATTTGGAATTTCATCCTCAGAATCTGTATCAGACACACACTTTGAAATGACATGCTTCACCAACAATGCACCATCCGTGAGTTTGACTTCGGGGATTTGTTTTACAATCTTATGATCCTGAATTACACTGGGTGAGACAGCCACCTGCTTGAAATTTATTCTATGTTCCTGCATTTGTCTTTGGGAACGAGGAGAGTCTATTTTACCTGTATCTAAAGTTGTGGTAATGGACGAACCTGTTCTTTTAAAGCTTTTACGGATATCTCTTAAAGATTTTTTCACAGGTACCTGTGCCTTTCTATGACGAAACTCACGTAATTTCAACTTTTTATCGGATTCAGCACTACAGCTATTAAGAGACTTCTGCAGTTCAAGTGAAGTTCTTCTTAATTCCTCATTCAAATCCTCATCTGTATAATCACTATCTCCACTGCCGTATCTTCTCAACGTTGATTCCTTTTTCTTTTTGTTAGAATAAGTTCTAAAAGTATCAGTTTTTGAAGCTAACACATCTTTATCAGAAACACTAATTTTTTCATGTTTTTCACTTTTGTTTGATGGAATCTCTAAGTTTATCTCAGAGTCAGTTACCTCTGCAAAGTTAAACTTTTCATTAATTTTTCTTTTTGGGCTTTCTGTGTTTAATATATTTGATTCTTCACCTTCAGCACTATCTAAAATTCCCACTGCACTTACTGACTCCAATTTGTTACTGCCACTAGAACCTAATGGAATTTTAGAGTTTACTTCAGATTCCTCAGTTTTACACATTCCTTGTCCACCTCCATCAGTTTTGTTCAATGGTTTTCCTGTAATATTTTTATACTGAGACCCTCTTTCTGGCTTATTTCTTTGATTTTCATCTAGCTTTTCTCTACAAGATTCCTCATTCTTAACACTGGGTTGGTTTCCACTATTTTCTGTAGCAAATTTTCCACTAAAAGATAATTCTTCAACACCTGGTTGATCATCAGTACTATTTTCTCCTTTACTTCCTCTTGCAGAAACCTCCAGGTCAATGCTGCTGCTCTTATTTTTATCTGGTTTCTTGAATGGGCTTCCTTTCATGTCAATGGCTGATGATCTGTTGAAGAATTAAATATTTTTAACTTAAGAATGCATTAACAAAAGTTCTTTGATTACCACAAACTTGCTACATCAGTAATCATGTTTCTCCAAGTAGCAACACACACACATACAAAAGCAATTAATGTATACTGTTTTGCAGAGTTGATATGGAAACTACTTTAACGAGTGTTCTAATCATAACATGCTTTAAGCAAGCATAGTATGTGTCAGTATTAATGAATTATATGGCAAGTCACTATATCTTCAGAGATATCTGTTATGTTAAATTTTTATTTAATTAATACAGTGAAGCCTGTATATGTAGGGGTTTATACTCTTAATAATCCAATGACTGGAAAAAATCTGATCAGGTACTAATGAACAAGAAAACAGGGCACGGACAAGTGCAAGTGTCTGGCCCCACACATTAAAAACCACCAATAGGTAAACACTGCTGACAACATCCCTAAGTTTGTATGTGTCAGCAGGTACTACTTACACCATTATACTGTAGTCGTAGATACATGGAGAAAACACTTTTGTAAGTCATTTTTCTTCAGATTTAGAAAGGCTACAGGAAAATACTGGTTTGTCAATAGTTTTAAATAAGTGAAACACTGCCAAATAGAATCATTTAAGATAATACCATAAATAGTTTTATGAAATAGGTTAGACAAATATGAATGAGACTGGTTGTGTGAGGACTTGTATAGCTTAGGCTAACAGGCCTACTGTAATACACACTTACTATACATTTCCTTCATAAAGGCTAATCATTGCATTCAACAATATCCCTCCAACTTCATACTATCAATGTACATCATTCTCTTTTCAGTTGACACACACATTCTCCAGTGCCACAGGAGCACATACAAGTTAGTCATTATTACATCCTTGACTAATTTGTACTTATACAGTATCTATTATATACAATCTTTAATACAAGCCATTGTAAAAATATTAAGAATTGTACAATCAGGATAATATTTTCTGAAGGGAGTCAAGGAAACTGGTTAGCTGAACTTAGGTCCTGGAGGTAGAAGTACAGTGCCTGCACTCTGAAGAAGGGTTTGAGATATTTGCTGGTCTGAATGACATCTATACTTTCCTGTTTATATACCTCTGGTAAGACAGTGGTAGTGTGAATGATGGTGAATGTTTCTTTTCAGTGGAAAATAGCACCATGTTATATTTATTATTTTTAACAAAGTACTTACTCTTCAAATGAATTCTGAGAGGCAAAATGTGATGGTAGCAAATCTTGTGAGACAGCTTGTGAGAGTTCAGAATATAGGGCTGGGATATCAGACCTCCGTTCACTCATCCGTTCAATCTGGTGCTCTGTTAGGACTCTCTTCTTTGATGAGGGAGAGATGATCTTCACAAAATCCTGTTACAAAGAAAGCCTATTTGATCCATTACTGAAAAAATGTGAACATTTGTATCTGTTCATGTATGCTTTTAAGATTACAGCCTCTCCTCACCTAGCAACGTACTTGTTTACCAACCGCTCGGACTTATAACCACCTCTCCAACCAGTATGCAAACCTAAATAATGCATATTAGAGATGATTTCTTCTATTTATTACAGTATACAGTACACTACTGCATAAACATTTAAAAACATACTAGAAATGTTATAAATGGTACAAAGATGACATTAAAAAAATATCTAAAGATGGTTGGTACAAACCCACTACTAGTATAGTGTGCTCCTCACTTAATGACCAATTCACTTACTGACCTACTCTTAGGAACAGAGGAGAGGCTGTACTTTGATGACTTAATTAATCTCTAGGTTGAATAAACAGGCTGATGCTTCATTTACATTTCAAGAAATACATTTTTATTTTTATGCTTACCTCATCTTTCATATCTTCGAGCTTTGTCTTAGGCTTACTCTTCTCTTTTGTGACTGTTGCATCACGGCTCCACCTACCAGACACTGGAGAATCAACTTTCAGAGATTTAAGCTTGTGTGTTCCAACTTGGGCTGGAAAATAAGTCAACAAAAAAAAAAATAGGAGATAAAGATTAAAGTATCTAAAATGACATTCAAAACATCTATCCTTAAAACTTATTCAATCCACAGGTTGACAAAACTTGTACATCTATACTTGATTAAGCCCCAGTACTTCTGGAGAGAGCTATTAAATGAATGATGGAAATTGTTTCCATCTCAGGGTCACCTTACTTTGCTGCGAAATGGCTAAAGTGCGGAAAAAAAAAATACAGTCTTGCAAAATCCTAAGAGAATACATAAAACGCACACGTACCTTTTATGTACGTATATACTTTCGACTAGTTTCAAGAGTTTTTCACCCCTACCCCCTGCAGCTCAGCCCTGGGTCAGGTTTGTCTGGTTCATGCCTGGTCAAACAGGCTGTTACTACTGGTGGCCCAGTGGCCCACATATCCATCACATCCTTAACTTTGCTGAGTAACAAAAATGTCCATTTAGTGTCAGTGGAAAAACAGGTGTATCAGTGTGAATGAGGCTTGGTCACTATGTATGTCAGGCTGGTCACTGCAAAAGTTAAAAATCTGGTGATCCTGTAGTTATTCATACTGGTAATGTGTATTCATGTATTGGATAGACTGGTGATTCTATGACCCTGTTAATTAACAATGCATAAAAGGAACTGTATAAGGTCACCCTAAAACTATAAAAAAAAAAAACTAACTACAGTACAGTATATATAAAAAATGAAAAAAATCCTAGCGTGTGTAATTGCATTAAAGCAATATGGAAAATATTTAACAATCCTTTAAATAAAACTAAAAACCTAACTGCGTCAAAAACTGTTTTGCTTTGTTTTTTTTTGAGATGTACAGTATATCCCTCAACTTACATCAGTGATGGTTACAGAAAATGCCAACTTAAAAGTGCACTTTAGCCTTGTGGCCAAGGTTGCCTCGTGGAAGGTTATTCAAATTTTTTTTCTAAAATAATGCAGATTTACAACTCAAAATAAAACAACACAAGATTCTACTGGCATTCATCTTGAACTATAATCAACTTACCCAAGTGATTTTCTTTGGGACTGAGACATATGGAGTCTTCCATAGACCCATTTAGCTCTGTTAAACTAGCAGGGGGAAGACCACATTCCTTCAGAACATCAAAGAGATTCCCTGGTATACTGAAACTTGTAGATGAAAAACAACTCTTCCAAATCTTGTGTGCTTCCTGTTTAATGTGTTTATTAGTCGATTTCAGCGATATTAAGAATAATGGTGCCACTTTGTTCAGCAAATCAGCACTATGCTTTGTACCAAAATGTGTTTCTAACAATGTCCCAAAACTTTTGAACATGGCAATGAATCTCTTTTCAACCTCAGAATTAAATCTAGCCGCTGGGTTGACTTTCAGCAAATCACACAATGGATCAATCACTTGTGCTATCAACAAATCTACCAGTTTCGTTTGCTGAATACCACCGAACACATGAATAATGGCTTCACACAATTTTGATGCAGCATGCTGCCTTTGACTTGACACTATTCTTATCACTTTCTGAAAAAGGATTCTAAAAAGTTCTATACAAGACGCTAGATTGTGAAGAGGATGTGTTCTCTTCTTCGGTTTTGCTGGACTATGAACCACTGTAAAGAAAATGATATATATTTTAGTATATAGGGTTCACACCTGCATTAGAAAAACAATAGCTAATAAAAAATTGCCAACAAAGTCAGTAGCCAATATAAAATGTTTTGTTCAACACTTTTTAGTACATAGCCACAGTATGGAACAAAATCAATGAAAATGTGTACAACACTCCTGAAACTTTTATTGAAGAAAATAGGTTTCACTCAAAACATATATATAATAGTTGTATAAGCATGAAAGTAATGCACTTGTAACCTTGCTAAATTTTTTATTAATTACTGTTCTTGCCATCCTTCCTTTGTCATGTGACCTCCATTCTGAGCCAATTGTATCCTCAAGAGATAGATCATTATGCACATACCCAACACTGAAAAAACAAAATACAGGACTCATTGGCTCAAAACAAAAAGCAAACATTCACCATCACTAACTGTCTTGCCAGAAATGTACTGACATCATAATTCAGATGAACCTCCGTCTGCAACACCCTCACCTCTCCTTCAGAGTATAGGCGCTCCCTTCCCACCTCCAGCTAACCAGTTTCCTTGAATCCATTCATAAATTACCCAGCTCATACTCCAACAGCACATTCATTAAAAACCCGTGTCTCAATTATCTCATATTTAACATGATCAAGCCTACTAGCCTCTCAGCTACTTACATCTCACAGAGGTTTTGCCAAGTTCTGAGTATCTTAACTTTTCAGTAAGAGTAGCCAGAACATCAGCCATCAAACTGTAGGCAGCAGCATGGATGTCAGGTGGTGCTGTAAGCTTTTCAGTACAAATATTAACTAATGCACAAGCTACGTGCTCCACTTCACTGTTTGGTTCAGCAGTTGGAGATAATGGAGTTAGCTCTGTAAATTTACACCAGAGCTCATTCCAGTCTTTCATGATTTCCTGAGAAAAATAAACAAGGTTAAAGTACAAGCAAATTATTAGTACAAGTTCAAATACTTCTGGCAAACAATATTTTCCAGTATACCCCTACTTCCCCAAAAATTAATACACCTTATTAACAGTGGCTACAAAAATAATTTAATATTAAGTAAAATTTCCTAATATTCACATGAAAACACTAAACCCATAGGAGTCATGCAGTACCTGAAGAATGAGAGAATCATGTTTAAGCCATGGAATTAAAAAAAAATTATGATTTATAAATGATTTACAACTTACTTGATAAACATGGTGATCAGCAGAGCTAAGAGCATCAATGGAATGAATGAGGGGGAAGAGAAGAATACTGTAGATGCAACTCCAGTCATGCTCACTTCCATCACCCTGATCTATGATCTGTGTCTGATAATATATACTGTATGTAAGTAAAACTAGCATTACAAAACAACCATAAAACAAGTTCATTCACACATTTTTCAGCCCAAATAAAATTTCAAAATCTTAACTTCAAGTCACTCTTCTTAATAGTGGAGAAACAGAAAGTAGGGGTACACCCATTAACAAAATTAAGACAAATATTAAGTAATACTTTATACCACTACACATGCACAAATTTCATGAGAAAGAAAACTCAGAACAGATATTTCTTCACATTATCAAAAATACACATGTACAGTACTTAAACACAAAGATGCTCGTTGCGCATAAATGTTTTGGATGGACTTACTCGTGATTCTTTTAGGTTTTTCTACACTTGCAGCCTAGCTGGAAGCCAAGCTTCTGCTGAATGCTGTTGGAGGTCCACTGCCATTATAGCCTGGTTGACCCGGTACTTTGCAGAGGTAGACGTCCAATTTCCTCTTGAAGTTTTCAATACTTGTTCTGGCAATATTTCTCATATCTGCTTATAGCATGGAATAGTGGGGCCACAAGGGCCTTATGAAAGACACTGATGACAAAATAAAACTATGTCCAGGATATGGCCTAACCAGCAACCTCATGATTATTTACTATACAGCAGTTAACCACTTGTAAAATTAACCTCGCCTTGAAAAATGGCCTCACCTACTTTGATCTTGCTTATTAGTTGTTACCTGCATAAACTGTTTAATATTTGTAGGAAGCCACAAACATGCAAGGGTTATACAGTGCCTCGCAGATGTATATTCATTAAGGAATAACCATTTGCTTTTTGTTCAAGCTTCATGGGCTGTTTTGTAAAATTAATCTCTTGCTTATACTGTTAGTTTTTCCATGTTTTTTCTACCACTAAATTTTCTAGTTTCTGTAGCTTCTAGTGTTTGTTTTTAGTAATATCACTACTCTATCTTTTGTTCATAAAGTCCCTTCTCCACATTACATAATTTAAAAACGTTTTTCCAGTTTAGTTTGTTACACTCACTATTCTGTATCTTGTTCAAAATGGTTTTTAGCTGCAGTCTTCTTGATATTATCCCATCAGTGTTTGTATACAAAAGTTATGAATGTGTAAATATTTTTTTTTTCCATTTGGTGTTGGGCTTCCTTTCTGTTTCCTTTCCTGATTTACCATTTGACAAGTAGATTCAGTCCTGTTGTGCTATAGAAAACCTGCTTAGTCTTCCTCATACTTTCCTTCCTTGATCATCTTCACAGAGCTCAACTTGTGGTGTCCCAGTCAATGTTCAATTTGTCACATTTTTTAAATTTGCAAGTGGTTATAGCACTTTTTTTTTTTTTGAAGGGGGGGGGGATATGATTCCAGAATAACTTTCAAGTACCCCCATGCCCTTCAAGGTGAAGGTATCTAGGACTATTTATATGAAGAATTGGGACTGTCCTCTTCCTTAAATCAAACCTGATTACCTCCCATTTTCCAGATGCTTCATAACCCCTATTGATTTAGCACTTCCTTACAGTAAAATAAATAATATATCCTTTCAGCACCACTGTCAAGGTTTGCAATTGTGGCTTCTAGTTGTTCTTGTTGATGTTGCTAAGAAAACATTTCCACCACTTTCTTAAATGCCTCTATATTCTAGTATACAGTTCTACTTCTCAATCATTGAAAACAATTTTAATATTTTCCATCTTCATAGCTAATATTTCCAACTCTGGCCTGAAGAATGTCACTGACAAGTTTCTTAACATGAAGGCTCTCCTGAACTTGGCCAGATTAGCATTTCTCACTATTTCAGCAAAATGATCTTCCAGTGACAATCTTATCATCGCTACTCCCAGATACTGATCTCTGGAGGAGCAAAGAACAAGAAGGGCTATGATCACAACCTACAAAATACTAAGAGGTATGGGTAGGGTAGACAAGAAGAGGCTTCCCAAGGGTGCAATGACAAGGAGTCATGGTACAAAACTGCACTCAAATGAGCTATATGAACATGCTCTAAACTGAGTGTGTTGTACACCAAATGAGGTGTACATATCAGGGAGTCAACATGAGAGTTGTAAAGAAATGGAATAAGTACAGTCCATGCAGTGGTTTCAAAAGAGATGACAGGGTTAACTCCTGTCAGTTGACTGAATATTGAGAGGTGGGATCCACAGTGGGAGGTCACCCCTGCAAACTCAAATAGGTAATTACAAATAGTGTAGGTAATTTTACATACATTTTCTAAAGTACCACTCATTCTGTATTGTTTGATGTGAACAAAAAATTCAACATGAAGTTTTCTTTCTCTGGTGAAATTTATGCACATGTAAAACACAGCTGCACTTTTACTTCAACCACAACATCCAATTTTTTAAGGCCTCAATTTTATGTTCACATATGGCATTTCAAGCAAGCAATTTAAAACTATCAACAACTTTATTCATATCTATTCAAGTCTAAAATAATTTTGAGCAAAGTATATGTAGGAATTATTTAGAATCTCATAGCCCCAAAGTATGTGTGGAAAATAGCAAACATCATAACTTGGAAATAGCATTGCCAATGTTGACAAATACACATAATTAAAAAATATAAATAAGGCTATACTGTCATCGTATTATCACTATTATTTTCACATACAAGCATTTAGTACCTAAGGACCATACAGCACCTGGGAAATGATGGAATCAGATTTGATCTGAGGAATGGGAGAGTAGCTCCAATTCCTTGGATCATGAGTCCTTAATCAGCATCAAGGCACCACTCAAGGAGATATCATACTTTGATAACATATACTGTACCAATTGGTTGAAAGCCAGTTAAACAAGGAGTTATTATCTGAAAACAAAGAGGAGAATTTTTTCAATTAAATGATTGGGATATCTAATAAAAACAATTGCTACTAGTTTTGTTTATTTTATCAAATGTCTTATTAAATATTAACCTCTTTAATGTACTCGATGAGTTGATGGACAACTGCAGACCACATGTGCACAAGAGTACTGGGATTAGCAGGACACAGTATTGCTGCAGCACTGTCTAACTCCTTCATTACAAACTGCAGGAATCCAAGTTTCCCAGTTGAAGGTTTGCTGTTTGACAGCACTACCAACCACATTGAGAAAAACCTGAAATGCATTTAGAGCATCAGTCCTCATTGTTTTAATATAGATACAGAGTACTTAAAAATACACACAGGACAGTAACCAAATGATCAACTACTCATTGTAGTGGCTTTTTTGGTAATACCTTTACTGAGAACAAGTAACACTGTTATTGTTACACAAGAAACATGGTAACACTATAAAAATATCAAGTTTACGCTAAGATGTATGCATGGTATTAACTGTAAAAGCAGATACATTAATAGATTCAGATACATAAACTATAATAGTGGGCAAACTATATCAATGAGCAGGGGACTGGCAAAATTATTAGGAACTAGCAGCAATTCAAAGTGACCCCCTCCCCCCAAAAAATAGTTTCCAATAAAGAAAAGCAAAGTGGTGCATGCATGTGCTCTACATTTTTACATAACACACACACACAAAACTAGCAACTTACCCCGGCTTAATCGGTGCAAAGTGAAGAATAGATGGTTTACATAACTGGCATATTAGATGATTACTTAATGTTCCACTCATCATATCTCTCATTGTTGCTGTATGATAATGTCTAGAATTTAAAACGGTTTTAGGAAGTGCCAAATTTCCAACTGTCACCAATTCGTAGAACTTGAAAACAAACTGACTTTGAGAATCTTCTGGACAACAGTTTTTCTCTAACACTGAAAGTGTATTAAAAAGTTCCTTCACTATCTCCACAGAGTCTTTTTTATTCGAATCAAGATTAATAGCCACTCGTGTGTGCGCAAGGATGGACTGAAAAAGAAGTATCCCAAGAAGATTTTGTTTACAATCTTTGAAGTTAAGGCTTTGTGCTGCTTCACTTATACAGTTCAAAAGCAAATTATGATGGCGTACAAACAGTGCAGGGTTGTTTAATAGGGGTTCTTCCATCTGAAGCATGCTGAAATTGTACGTCTGAACTCCAGGAATATTTATACCAACAAAGATTATCTGGGCTAAAATTTCTGCACATGCAACATGTAAATTAGCAAATTTTCTTCCTGGTGATGCTGCAGCACCAGACATGATAAGATTCCTTTCAGCTAATCCAACTGCTGCTCCACCAGAAGAGGAGCCACAGCCAAAACAGAACCTCAGAAGTGGTACTACAATCATGTCAAAATTTATAGACGCTTTCTTACCAAGTTTGCACACAAGATGCCACCATGCCAACAGCTTTGCATATGCAATATCTTCTGTTTTAGCATTATTGGCTTTAAGAGGTGCAAGCAAAAGCTTTAGTCTCTTAGAATGTGTAAGAACACTATCATCCAAAGAAAAATTATCAATTAAAGCTCTCCAACAGTTAAAAGCATCAACTCTGATTTCTGGCTTGGAACTCTTGAATCCTTTTTCCACAACCTCCAGGAGGCCATTTATGAGTGATGTACCTGGGTGAAGCTCCTTTCCTAAAAACTGTACAATCATCTTCCATTCCTTCAATATGTCAGTACAGTCTTCAGTCACCAAGCGATTCATTCGCTTGCAATTATGTGCTTTAAGATCTGGTATTATCATCTTCAAAATATCTGATCTAATATCACTGAAATTTTCCATTTTTTCAAATATGACTTTTGCTCCATTGACAGTAGCAAAGGCAGCTGTACGAATTCTATTAACATCATTAAACATATACCCAAACACACATGGAAACCAATTTTTTGCTTCTTTACCCATTTCATTAGGAACAATTTCCAATAAAGATTGGATGACCTGTAAAGCTTCATGAACTGCAACTGATGAGGCATTTTCAACTCTAAGAATGCCATTAATAGTTTCAAGAATTTGCTCAAATTTTTCAAGAAACAGTTCTCTCTTTAGTTTGCTCTTTGATAGACTCCAGAGGCATCTGGTAAGAATTTTCTTCTCTTTAGAATCCTTAATGGATTTAATTAATGCATCTAAAATATCGACCTCATCTTCACTATTCACAAGACTGAGGAAGCTATCATTAGCTAAGAGACAGCCACATACTCCCGCAGCTTCATAACTAGTCTCAACTGTTTCACTGAGTAAGTCTGTTTTTATATTAATGAGGGTCTTGTGTGTGTCGTCCAGCGAGGCAAAATCACTCCAAATAACTTTTTCTGTCTCTCCTGTGCATTTCCTGAAAAGATACAAGTTTGTAGCAAAAATTACTGTAGCCAGCAAGTCTTCAACATAACATGCCTATACCATTTACATATATGTACAAGATACTTTATGTTACTGTTGGAAGGACCAAGCTTTAACCCTTTCAGGGTCCGTCCCGTAGATCTACGGCTTTACGTTCAGTGTCCAAACCGTAGATCTACGTCATGAGCTCAGCTCACTCTGATAAACTGTGAGTGGAAAATTTGGCCTAGATATGAGAGAATACATCTAGTGTATGGTCACAATAAAAATAATCCTAGAGCACTTATAATGAGAAGGAAAACTGATTCGGTTTTCCGATTAAAACACTATCAGCACTCAGGTCTTTATGATGTTTTATAGTTGAATCTGTGATTTCTAAAGTTCATGATAGATATTGATACCTTAATATTAACAGAATCAGACAATTTGATTGGTTATTTGCACTTGAAATGCTTGAACTTAGCTCAAGTATACGAATTTAAAATTATCTATACGATGTTCAAGAGTTAAACAAACGACTTCACAGTTTTATTACACGCCAGCAAGGTGGTCTAATATACATTCATAAATTGGTGATAATATACAATAACAATATTGCAAACAAAATCTTTTCTTTTTCCTTTTGAATAAAAATTCATTTCGAATAAAAGAATACTAAATGGAATTTATTGTAAAGCCTCAAACGTAATACATTAACAGAGGCAATTTAGTTTAGGCAGAATACCGACATTGTTTATTCTGGAACCTATTTTGAATTGAATATTTTGAACTTTGTTAATATGGCCAATGAAGAATTTTCCGTTCACTTTATTTTGTAGTTGATTAATAATGATCTAGGTGAATTTCTTTGCTCAATCGTCATACAAAATCTAGTGAATAGCATAATATTAGGACGACTGGAATAATTACCGGCCTAAAAGGGTCAAAGTCGGCAAAATCGCCGATTCGTAAATATCTGACACATCAAAATTCACTGGTGCTATTTCGTCAAAATCACACCCAAAATTTCATACTTTTTGTTTATACATTCACAAAATTTCTAAAAACCATATCATAAGTAAAAAATATACAAATTTTTTTCTAAAATTCTTACCTGGGTTGCTGGTACCATTAATTTTTGCTTGGACTGAAAGGTAGTTAAAATACACACAAAATCTTTATATGATTATGCTTTGAAACCTATTAAAAGCCCTCCATACAAATTTATGATTCCGTACTTGATTTTTTTGAATTAACAATTGACAGCCATCTGACCAAAGGGCCTCTGTTAATAATTTAGAAAAGCTTTTTTCGGTATCATTTTTTTGTCTCGAAGCATAGCCTCTAAATTAAAAAACAAATTAAGACTTTGTTTAAAATGTGCTCACTATTGCACACAAATAAATCTTTCTTAAGACATACTGTTTTACAAATGTTAGTGTTTAAATATAGAAGACCCAAGCAACACTGAAAAAAAGACAAAGTAAAAATGAGCCCAAGTCTGAAAAAAAATACATTAAGACTACTGTAATATGGACAGTTTCTAGATTTGCTGGGACTTTAGGATCTTAACCCCCATGAACTCAAGAGCACTGTACCTTATGCAAATTTAACAGGTAAGATAAGATAAACAATGATAATGATTTACGTTCGATTTTTAACATGGAGGTTAGCAACATGTATAACCCAATAAAGTCAGTGCGTCATCGAGGCTGTCTAAAACTTATTTCCATTGGAGTACCTAATCTATGTCCCCCAGTCCGATGCACCCACACCATCGGACTAACACCCAGGTACCTATTTGCTGCTAGGTGAACAGGACAATAGGTGTAAGGAAACGTGTCGGAATTTCCACCCGCCGGGAATCGAACCCGGGCCCTCCGTGTGTGAAGCGGGAGCTTTAGCCACCAGACCACAAAACCAATGATAGCATGCACTTTACTGACTTATAGCTTCAGCTATGTCAGCTATAAGTCTAATATTGATTTTCATTACCTTTCAGCAAATAAATACCCCCCTTCCAGCCTCCCTCAATAAAAAAAAACTCACTGTGTAAGGGTCCGGTATGCAGGTACACGTACAGTCACTTGTTGTGATGTGCACTGATTCACCAAGTCCTCCAGACTGGCCTCCTTCATGGCCCCCTATGGAAAAACCTAAATTATAAACATCTGGAAACGACAAATTCCTTGGAATATCAAAATGATATACAATACCAACAGATTGGTAAGACACATAGGCAACAGTAAGGCATCTTTATTCTGAAAAGTTTGGCCTACACAGTAGGCTTCTTTACTCAACTGAAGAAGCATACTATGTAGGCAAAATGTTTCAGAATAAAGATGCCTAACCGTTGTCTATGCAAATTCCTTTACCTAAATTCCTTGCAAATTATGAAATGAACAAGATATAAACTGTAATAAAGTTGGTAGAATTACCGACAATATGTAAAGTAAAAGGACACAAGTGCAACTAATGTGACATTTATTGTAGCAACGTTTCGCTCTCCAGGAGCTTTATCAAGCCATTACAAACAATACATGGACACAGAGGGTATATAAAGGCTCAGAGTGAGGTGAATACTAGTGAGGTACCATTTCGATGTTCACTAGTGGTAGTAGTAGTAGTAGTAGTGGAAGTGACAAAAGCAATTAATTCGTACATGAGTAAAAGGATATAAAAGCTATTACTTGGTAACATAAAAATAGTTGGCAAATATAATTTTTGATGAGCATAGTCTTTCAGTGTTCAAAACAAACTTACGATTGTTTAAAATGTGTAACAGTGAACAATTGATGCAGGTTCTTACTGTTCTTCAGTTGAGATGTCTTGTAAGACTTCGAAGAGGACGCACGTTGTTTATTAAACAAAGTATCGAAACACGCGATCAGACTAGATTCAAAGGCACTTCTGTCGGAATAGTTTCTTTTTCACTAATTGGGCGTCTTTATGAAATCAGAGACGCCCAATAATAGATAAAACTATAAATCGCAACGCAAGTGCCTTGAATCAGCACTGACGCTGTTTCGAATACATTAAACAAAACAACGGCACTTCACATACTCCAATAGCTTAGCAAAATCGCTGAAAACTAAACTGTCTTCAATTACTCTCCTGAAATAAATACCCAAACCTTCAGGAGTGAACACTGAAACAACTCTCATCCAGGTTATTTTGCAACCTAATTTTTATTCACCAAGTAATAGCTTTTATTCCTTTACCATGTACGAATAATTGCTTCTTTCATGGCCCTATAAAACCTAAATATAACACGAATGAAATTCGAAAAATGATAACAATCCAACTAGTATTGACACATACAACAGTAAAGCATCTTTATATCTGAAAAGTTGGTCCAGTATTGTTTTTAACTGCTGAAGAAGCTCTAGAGGAAAGTTCTCAATAAATGCCAATTAGTTGCACTTGTGTCCTTTTACTTTACAAGATATAAACTAGATAATAGAGTTGTCAATAAGTGAAGCAAACTCCCAAGTAGCACCACAGAAACAAGTATGTACTTCAGAAAGCTTTGAACACAAGTTGGAAAGGGACATGAGCAAGTGGTTACATAGAACTTGCCTAGTATGGGGCCTGGTAGGCCTACTGCAGTACTCCACTATTTTTATCTTAAAGACTGAACATTTGTTGTTGTTGGGTTTATCAGGGCCACCGACAGCATAAGCCATATCGAGCCCGGTTTCTTGATGGTACGAGGAAGATTTGTTGCCCCAAGGCTGGGCGATGAAAGAAAAAGGAACAAAAGTTCCTTTGTAAATAGAGATAGAAACTTGAAGTTTCCAATTAGATCTGACTGAACATTTGATCATTGTAGCTTAGCTGCTGTAAGTAAACACAAAAATCTAAATCTGTCAGTTTAAATTCACATCCTCCAGGAGCATAACTGCCTGGTCATGGACTGGGCTGTGGGAGCATTGACCCCTGCAACACCCTCCAGGTATATACTACATAAAATGCAAAGCAACCACAGGAAGAGTCAAATTCCCCTGTGGTTGTTTTGCATCTTGTATCACCTGTTCGTGATTTTTGCACACTTAAAATGTGGCATTATTGACATCACTCAAAGAACAAAAACCAATCATGTTAATAATTTACAGAAAGCTTCTGGCAGCTAAGGTTTAGTGAACACATCAATAACCTCAACCAGATGGAAAGAAACATCACTGGAGGAAACAAGTAAACATGGTATTTGTGTAGTATACGTCAACATGACATATTGGAGCTCCAACCTAGACAGAAATTATGAAATAAAAATCTTATTGCACCTTCATCTGCATATTTCCCTTATTCTGCACAAATTTGCTTAATTATTTTAAAGTTTAACTTTTTACCTAACCCACTCACAAAATGAGCAATGTTATTCACAGCAGTATTATAATTATGGGGAAGTGCTCAAGCCATATAGGGTTTTACGCCTGAGGAATGGGAAGATAAGCAATCAAGTTTGATCCAAGGTGGTGAGGATTAGGTCCAATTCCCTAGATGAAGAGCCCTTCCTGAGCACCAATGTAAATAATTCACTTTTACTTTTCTGGGTTATCCAGCTAAGTAATTTACACATTAAACTATGTATGATAATTGTATTTATGTGTACCTGTGCCTTAATAAACTGTTTACTTAACCTTGAAGAGTTACTCAGCGGTTTAAACTTTAAAGTCACTGACTTTTTTGCTTTATCCTGGTGGATAATTTTCCTTGATGTTGGTGAGGGGCTCTTGATTTAGGGAATTGGATCTGTGCTCCAGTTCCCCGAATTAAACCTGAATGCCTTCCACATCCCCCCCCCAGGCGCTGTATAATCCTCCGGGTTTAGCGCTTCCCCCTTGATAATAATAATAATAATGGTGGATAATTTTTATGATGATGATAATTATACTTGTGTACCTAAATAAACTTACATTAGGTATTACTACATTGTGTTCAAATATAATAATAAGATTGTTATATTAAGTTAAATCATCCTGTCACTGACGTATGTCTGGTTAAATTTTTGGAAGGAATAATATATGACTTAAGTGATAACGAAGGTGACAATTACAACTTTTTTTTGCAATAAACTAGTGACAAGACTCACGTCATGGATAATATTCTTCATCACATCTCCCACTAAACACCATCACACTCCCTGAGAGATACGAGACCGTCTTACCTACCAAAACTACAAAATTAACAGAGGAAATGGGAATAAAACTGAGCCATCATCATCACAACACAACAAAACACCTCCAATACTCCCACGTCAAATCCCTCTCTTAAAACACATTCACAGCATCCAACACCTACTCAGCAACACCAGCCGCTCCACAATCACATCAACACCCCATGGAATCAAGTGGTTAAGCGTAACAAGAGGTAAAAAGTGTGAAAATATCTCACAGGTTCCTCCATGGAGGCGACAACAACACTGCTGCAGGAAAGCGCGGGAAGCCTGGTGGTGGTGGTGGTGCTGCAGGCTCACACGCTAGCTACCTCACTTACCCACCTCATATTTATTACTAATATCCACATATCCCGGGATTATGGACCGTCAAAACGCCTACTAGAATGGTCTATAGTAGTCGACAGAAGGTTTTCCCCTACTCACTGAGTAACCTTCATCACTGGTATACTGATAAAACGTAAAAAATTGTATGGGTCTTAGCTGAACTCCAAGAGCCTATGTTTCACCAAAGAACTATGCATTTTATCATTTTTTACAAATGTGGCAATGATAAAGGACTCCTAGCATTTACCAAAATGTTTTTCAAAGTCCTTTAACCATTTCTATCAGTTGTTCTGATATCTCTCCAAATATTCCTTAGAACGAGTCTGCAAAGGTTAAATAACTATATATACATTTTTTATAATCAATGTAACATAATAATATACATTATTTATTTATTTATTTTATGTCTTTACAAAATACAAGATACAACTATTACAGTCGTAGTTGATGTCATTGACATATTACATAAACAATCTGGTTATGCAGAACATTTCTGGCAACTTAGGATAATATTCTCCCCTAAGACAATATTAACCTAATACCCAGGTACCTACGTACTGCTAGGTGAACAGGGGTCAGCAGGTGTAAGGTGACTAATACCCAAGTGAACTGGGGACAACGGGTTTACACCCGCTGTCCCCTGTTCCCTTCCCCCTGTCCCCTTTCCACTCGTGCCGGGATTGATCCCGGACCCCTCCGTTTGTGAGCTAAGGACACTTCCAAATGAGCCACGAGCACCTACGTAACACTTACAGTAGGTGGTCGTGCCTCAAGCACCTTTTATTATACAGTAGCAAAGGCGGGGAACGGAGTGCCTGAACATGTCAAATCCTGTCCTAGGATGAACAGGAAGGTACCTAATGAAGCTACAGAAAGGTGCCTAATGAAACTACAGAAAGGTACCTAATGATACTACAGAAAGGTGCCTAATAAAACTACAGATAGGTGCCTAGTGAAGCTACAGAAAGGTATCTAATGAAACTACAGAAAGGTACCTAATGAAACTAAAGAAAAGTACCTAATGAATCTACAGAAAGGTACCTAATGAAGCTACAGGAAGATACCTTAAGAAATTACAGGAAGGTACCTTACAAAGCTGCAGAGAGGTACCTAATGAATGAAGCTACAGAAAGGTACCTAATGACTGAAGCTACAGAAAGGTACTTAATGACTGAAGCTACAGAAAGATACCCAGAAACCGGGGTGAGGTGAAAGATCCCTAAGACGGTGTAGGAGACGGGATTCACTAATGGAAGAAAGCAGGTCCCTCAGGAGTCCAACCCTCGTCACTTATAACCAGAGGACGTCTTCCAGTCCAAGATAATGTTGTGCTGCAGTGTCTGACATTTATGATGAAAATGGTATGAAATACCGACAGGCTGAGGATTAAGACATATGTGCAGCAGTTGGGTATTTTTATTGTGTAGGCGAAATGGCTCATCAATGAAGATACCCAATGTAACAAAATACAGTACTAGGAAAGTCACAACCCTTACACCCAACACCACAAGGTAACATACGGTACTAGGAAAGTAACGACCCTTACACCCAACACCGCTTTGTGTCATGTTCCTCCTGGGTCTTGCCACAAATGGTAACATTATCTAAATACGCATAAGTTCCCATGAGTTGCTCTTCCTGAATGAGTGAATCCATAATTCGTTGGAAGCAGGCTACCCCATTGGTGACTCCAAAAGGGACTCTGGTAAACTGATACAGGCCATCACTAGCCTGAAATGCTGTGTATGGTTTATCTTCATTCCTTATAGGGACTTGATGATAGGCACTCTGTAGATCAATTGTGCTAAACACATAGTACTGAGCAATTTTGTTCACTGTATCATCAATTCGAGGTAGAGGGTACCCATCAAGAAGCGTAAATTTGTTGATTGTCTCAGAGTAATCGATAGCCAGTCTCCGTTTCCTATAATCATCCTTAACAACAACAACCTGTGCACGCCAAGGGGAATTACTCGGTTCTATAATACCCTCCTTCAGCAGCCTCTGAGTTTCCTTCTCAATGAACATCCGATCCTCATAAGAATAGCGGCGTGACTTAGCTGATATAGGATGGCAATCCGAGGTAAGATTTGCAAAGAGCTTTGGAGGGTCTACCCTTAAAGTGCTAAGTCCACAGACAACAAGAGGAGGTAGTTCACCTCCATATGTTAAGGTGACACTATCATGCAGCTTCTGAAAGTCCTGACCAAGGATAACATCAGAGCACAGTTGTGGCAGAATAGCTAAATGTACATCTTGATAATCCTTTCCATTAACTCTGAGATTTACCTTACAAAACCCTAAGGTCTGAATAGAGAGAGATGTTGATGCCATGGAAACGGTACCTGATGAGTGATGTACAGTCAAGGAGTGGCGTTTAACTAAGTCAAGGTTGATGAAACTCTCTGAGCTGCCACTATCAATAAGACCATCTACTTCTGTTCCTTTGATGAATACTTTCACAACTGCCTTTGACAGTGAATTTGGAGTAGCTGCAGAAGTCACTGTTGCTAGAGTTGCATGATCACTGGAATGTGTGGAGGCACTAGCTCTTGTTGATGCATTAGCACGACATACTTTAGCAAAGTGACCTTTCTTGTGGCATTTATGGCACATTGCTTCACGAGCAGGACACTTTGGACGTGGATGTCTTGAAAAACCACAAAAGAAACACACCGTACCTGCTGCTGTAGAAAAGGAAGCTCAGGCCATAATAGAAGCAGTTCGCCACTGGAAGCATTATTTAACTGGTAGACATTTCACCATAAGGACTGACCAACGGTCCGTGATGTATATGTTCGACAAGAAGCACAAAAGTAGGATAAAGAATGATAAGATATTACGCTGGAGGATGGAACTATCGTGTTATGACTTTGATATTCTGTACCGACCGGGTCAAGAGAACATCTCACCTGATGCATTCTCTAGGTCCCACTGTGGAGCAGCATGTCATGATTTGCAATCACTCTCAGCGCTCCACAAGGCTTTGTGTCACCCAGGAGTTACACGCCTGTACCATTTTGTCAAATCAAAGAACATGCCCTACTCAGTGGAAGATGTGCGACAAGTGATCAGAGCATGCAGAGTATGTGCAGAGTGCAAGCCAAACTTTCATCAGCCAGAGAAGACTCATCTCATAAAATCCACCCAGCCTTTCGAGAGACTGAATATAGATTTCAAAGGACCTCTACCAAGCACAAATCAGAATAGATATTTCCTTACCATAGTAGATGAATATTCAAGGTTTCCCTTTGTGTTCCCCTGTGCAAATATGACTGCTTCAACTGTTATTAGTTGTCTTTCACAGTTGTTCTCTATTTTTGGTATGCCAGCTTATATCCATTCAGACAGGGGATCCTCGTTCATGAGTAATGAACTTCATGAGTTTTTGGCTAGCAAAGGTATTGCCTGCAGCAGAACAACAAGCTACAACCCTCAAGGCAATGGTCAAGTGGAGCGGTTCAATGGTACTATATGGAAGGTAGTTACAATGACATTGAAGTCGCACAATCTACCTGTTGAACACTGGCAAACTGTCCTACCTGATGCTCTTCACTCTATTAGATCATTGCTGAGCACAGCTACTAATGCAACCCCTCATGAACGACTCCTCAACTATTCACGTCGTTCCTCTACGGGAGCCTCCGTGCCCACTTGGTTATGTCATCCTGGACCCGTTCTCCTGAAGAGTCACCGTAGGATGAACAAGACGGATCCTTTAGTGGAAGAGGTAGAGCTCCTGCAAGCTAATCCACATTACGCCCATATTCGCTACCAAAATGGTGAAGAGACTACAGTATCTATAAGACATTTAGCCCCAGTTGAAATCCCCATTAGTGTGGAATCTCAAGATACACCAATAGATGTGAAAGATGCTTCGTTTTCTCCTGGAAAGCCCCTTGAGACTACCCCTACAGAAATAGAGGATTCTGCTCCAGCAGTTAGTCAAACCCCGCTGGAAAATATTGAACCTGGTGAAGAGGCTCAAGGGCTACGAAGGTCGGGACGTGTACGTCGCCCACCTAACAGTTTGGGAGATTACTGTCTCTGATATTTTAGAAGGGGGAGATTGTAGTGATACTGCTCCTGTGGGGAGCAGCAACAGGATAATACTGCACCACCTCTCGGGGCCCTTAACAACAACAACAGTTTGGTGTGTGTCATGGGCGCCAACACATGGTGTGTGATTCTCTTCTTTAACATATATATTAGTGATGCAGATTACATGGTGAGTTTAAATATGTGGCCTGTAGTTATAACTTTTCTCTTGACATATGCAAGACATCACCATCCCTGTAGAAGCAGTTATTAGATGTACTAGTCATTTTATTTTGTTGTTGCAGAAGTACTATGAAGATTCTATGTTCAATAAAGCCTAGAGATAAGGCCTGTGTTTCTATCACAACAGTAACATACGGTACTAGGAAAGTAACGACCCTTACACCCAACACCACAAGGTAACATACGGTACTAGGAAAGTAACGACCCTTACACCCAACACCACAAGGTAACATACGGTACTAGGAAAGTAATGCCCCTTACACCCAACACCACAAGGTAACATACGGTACAAGGAAAGTAACGACCCTTACACCCAACACCACAAGGTAACATACGGTACTAGGAAAGTAACGACCCTTACACACCCAACACCACAAGGTAACATACGGTACTAAGGAAAGTAACGACCCTTACACCCAACACCACAAGGTAACATACGGTACTAGGAAAGTAACGCCCCTTACACCCAACACCACAAGGTAACATACGGTACTAGGAAAGTAACGCCCCTTACACCCAACACCACAAGGTAACATACGGTACTAGGAAAGTAACGCCCCTTACACCCAACACCACAAAGGTAACATACGGTACTAGGAAAGTAACGCCCCTTACACCCAACACCACAAGGTAACATACAGTACTAGGAAAGTAACGACCCTTACACCCAACACCACAAGGTAACATACGGTACTAGGAAAGTAACGACCCTTACACCCAACACCACAAGGTAACATACGGTACTAGGAAAGTAACGCCCCTTACACCCAACACCACAAGGTAACATACGGTACTAGGAAAGTAACGCCCCTTACACCCAACACCACAAGGTAACATACGGTACTAGGAAAGTAACGCCCCTTACACCCAACACCACAAGGTAACATACGGTACTAGGAAAGTAATGCCCCTTACACCCAACACCACAAGGTAACATACGGTACTAGGAAAGTAACGACCCTTACACCCAACATCACAAGGTAACATACGGTACTAGGAAAATAACGACCCTTACACCCAACACCACAAGGTAACATACGGTACTAGGAAAGTAACGACCCTTACACCCAACACCACAAGGTAACATACGGTACTAAGGAAGTAACGACCCTTACACCCAACACCACAAGGTAACATACGGTACTAGGAAAGTAACGACCCTTACACCCAACACCACAAGGTAACATACGGTACTTGGAAAGTAACGACCCTTACACCCAACACCACAAGGTAACATACGGTACTAGGAAAGTAACGACCCTTACACCCAACACCACAAGGTAACATACGGTACTTGGAAAGTAACGACCCTTACACCCAACACCACAAGGCAACATACGGTACTAGGAAAGTAACGACCCTTACACCCAACACCACAAAGTAACATACGGTACTAGGAGAATAACAACCCTTACACCCAACACAACAAAGTAACATACGGTACTAGGAGAATAACGACCCTTACACCCAACACAACAAAGTCACATACGGTACTAGGAGAATAACAACCCTTACACCCAACAACAACAAAGTCACATACGGTACTAGGAGAGTAACAACCCTTACACCCAACAATAACAAAGTCACATACGGTACTAGGAGAGTAACAACCCTTACACCCAACACAACAAAGTCACATACGGTACTAGGAGAGTAACAACCCTTACACCCAACAACAACAACAACAAGAGGAGTCATGGCTGACATTCGTCTTGAAGTTCCTGCTGAGAACTCTGTGTTAGAAGTCTTGTATGATGGCACTGAACTATACCAGCAGTAAGACTTTATTATCTTATGTAACACTTTCATCTTGGTGTATTTTTTATTTAATTTGATGCCCTGAAGGAGCTGTATTGATGGCGTCAAGGAGACCATTGATGCACTGGAGGTGCATTGATGGCATCAAGGAAGGTATACTGATGTTCTCAAGGAAGGTACATTGATGCCATCAAGGAGGGTACATAGATGCCATCAAGGAGGGTACATTGATGCCATCAAGGAGGGTACATTGATGTTCTCACAGAAGGTACATTGATGCCATCAAGGAGGGTACATTGATGTTCTCACGGAAGGTACATTGATGTTCTCACGGAAGGTATATTGATGTTCTCACGGAAGGTACATTAATGTTCTCACGGAAGGTATATTGATGTTCTCACGGAAGGTACATTGATGTTCTCACGGAAGGTATATTGATGTTCTCACGGAAGGTATATTGATGTTCTCACGGAAGGTACATTGATGTTCTCACGGAAGGTATATTGATGTTCTCACGGAAGGTACATTGATGTTCTCCACGGAAGGTATATTGATGTTCTCACGGAAGGTACATTGATGTTCTCACGGAAGGTATATTGATGTTCTCACGGAAGGTACATTGATGTTCTCACGGAAGGTACATTGATGTTCTCACAGAAGGTACATTGATGTTCTCACGGAAGGTACATTGATGTTCTCACGGAAGGTATATTGATGTTCTCACAGAAGGTATATTGATGTTCTCACGGAAGGTACATTGATGTTCTCACGGAAGGTACATTGATGTTCTCACGGAAGGTACATTGATGTTCTCACGGAAGGTACATTGATGTTCTCACGGAAGGTATATTGATGTTCTCACGGAAGGTATATTGATGTTCTCACGGAAGGTATATTGATGTTCTCACGGAAGGTACATTGATGTTCTCACGGAAGGTACATTGATGTTCATGGAAGGTACATTGATGCCATCAAGGAGGGTACATTGATGTTCTCACAGAAGGTACATTGATGCCATCAAGGAGGGTACATTGATGTTCTCATGGAAGGTACATTGATGTTCTCACGGAAGGTATATTGATGTTCTCACGGAAGGTACATTGATGTTCTCACAGAAGGTACATTGATGTTCTCATGGAAGGTACATTAAAGTCAGTGTCATTGGAGAGTCTTATTTCCTCTGGGGTCCTCTAACCATGTTTCCCAGGATGCAACCACAAATAGTCGACTAATACCCGGGTACCTACTTACTGCTAGGTGAACAGTGACAGCAGGTGTAAGGAAGTATGCTCAGTGTCTCACCTGTGCCGGGGATTGATCCTGGACCCCTCAGTGTGTGAGCTGAGGATGCTACCAGTTAAGCTGAATTACTGAGAGTCGCCATTTTAGCACTGACTGAGGTTTCACTCTGGTGAGTGAAACGTAGCATATAATAAAATACTATACTGTGACTAAAATGTTGCATGTGTCCATTTATCTAATACTGTGTCCAATCATGTGTATCATACATAAATAATGCTTATCTCATCAAAATATAGATTTCTTAATAACTAAATTGGTTTAGCCCTTCTTTTTGGTTGTAATAATAATAATTAATAACTAAATATGAATGCTTGCAAGGTAATATTAAACCAGCAGTAAATTATTAAATATAAACTCTTTTATTTTAGTATTATTGAATTTTTCGTTATTAGAAGTTAATACAGGGGCTCCTTGACTTACAATGGGTTATGTTCCAACAAACCCATTGTAAAGTGAACATGAATACGATATAAATAAATAAGTAAATAAATAACTACTGTCATTGAATAAGTAAATAAACTAATAATTATTGTAACTAACTAAATATCAGTACAGGTCAGCCATCACTAATCCGCCAATCAGTTATCTGGTTCCATCAGTAATCCGGCACTAATTTTGGCTAGCGTAATTTCAAATTTCATCATTATGCTGACTCAAATCATTATACCGACTCAGAAATTGTGCAGATGGTTGTATATCCACAGCAGCAAGTCAGTGGAGGAGAAAGCAATGATGAAAATGAGGAAGATGTAGCAGACTAATAGGTGAATTAAGTGTATTTTAACCTAACCACTCTGTAATCTAGCAAACTCAGTAATCTGGCACACTACAGGTCCCAGTGATGCCGGATTAGTGATGGCCGACCTGTATTAAAAAGTAAATAAATGAATATGAGCTACGTACTTGTTACCTTCATGTTGGGTAATTATCTTTAGTTTCACCTCCAAAGTAATTGCTGGTGCACCGTCGTAAAGTAGAAATATCGCAAGTTGAGCCATTGTAAGTCAAGGAGCACCAGTATATCAGTCGTGCTTGCTGGAAAATCTTACTATTAACTATAATTATCATTGCCATCTTTCTCCACAGACCTCCGACTATGTCGGAGAATCTCACTCAGTTGGCAAGGAAGATTGACTTTGCAACTGATGGTGAAGAAGTAACAACAGAAGAAAAAAAAGAGGAAGAGGAAGAAGAGGAAAAACAGCCTTTTCAGCAGCCTCACTGGCCTTTAGAAGATGTTAGAAATAAGATAAGGTCAGTGTTGCATATTGAGGTGCTACCAGGTAATACACTGCTTAGCCTCATGTCATGTTCATTTGGGGTAGATAAGATAGGAAATATCTTCATCACTACAGTCACTTGCTTGAGTACATAGGGGGGTCAGTTTATTTCTTGGTTCTGCCTCTCGGCTTTCGAACAACTGGCAAGATTGAACTCTGTCATACCCACTTTTTAACCCTGTATGGAGTTTGCTTTCACTGTATCATTGCTTAGTTCATTCCACATATATATCACCCTGTACAATGTAAGTAGACTGCTCTCTTAAGTTTGTATCAAAGATGGAAAAACACACAAATATGGTATAATGAGATCCTGTATTGACTTCGTTTCACCCAGACAATGGATTTTATCAAGTCACAAACAGATCTACCTGGGTAGAGTACATGAGTATATATGTATAGGGAGCATAGTCACATGAAGAGTCAGGTAAGGAATGCATTCCCCACCTGACCCTTCACGTCACTGTTCTCCCCATATACATTAATGTACTCTGTACAGACAAATCTGTTTGTGATTTGATAAAGTCCACTGTGTGGGAGAAACATACTCAATACAGGCTCTCATTATACTGCATTTATGTCTATTTTTCCACCGTGTTGGTATTTTATACCATTTATCTCCATTGTACCACAGATGTTCTTTTTGCAAAACATCTCAGAATGAAATGATCTGACAACAATAATATCATGTAACTAATACAGTCAAGATGCAAAGTTTTATTTTTGATTCATAATACAGTGGACCCTCGGCTAACGATATTAATCCGTTCCAGAGAGCTCATCATTAGACGAAATTATCGTTAGAAATAATGTTAGAAATAATGGAAATCCAATTAATCCGTTCCAGATAGCCAAAAGTATTAAAAAATATTTTTTTTTTTTCATGAAATATACATTGCCCTACAAAGAAAACAATGAGACATGCACAATAACTATATAAATAAATGTTAAAATTGCACTTACCTTTATTGAAGAGTATTGATGAGTGATGAGACTGTTTTTTTTTAACACTCTGGGATTTTCAGAGTTATACATGAGTAAAGGCTTCACTTTACAATCCCCACTAGCATTACAACAAAACAAGAGGGTTAGCCTGTCTTTCATAGGCTTGTGTCCTGGGAGTGCCTTTTCCTCCTGAGTAATATAGATCCTGTTTGGCATTGCCTTCCAGAACAGGCCTGTTTCGTCACAATTGAACACTTGTTGGGGTTGGAATTTTTCAGCTTCGCCATGCTTTATCACACTGTGTATGCCACTATGATTCTTAAATCTCTCAAACCAACCTTTGCTGGCCTTAAATTCACCAGTATGAGCACTAGTTCCAGGCATTTTTTCCTGTTCACCTGGGTGTTAGTCGACTGGTGTGGGTCGCATCCTGGGTGACAAGATTAAGGACCCCAATGGAAATAAGTTAGACAGTCCTCGATGACACACTGACTTTCTTGGGTTATCCTGGTGGCTAACCCTCTGGGGTTAATTGTTTCTCGGTAATTGCTTCTTGTAAGCTACACCACCAACAGTCTGTCCACATCTTCGAGTAGTACAGCTGACGATGGTGCAGCAACAGCTGATGGTGGTGCAGCAGCAGCTGACCGTGGCACAATAGTATTTTGATACTATTTCTCACCCTTTTTACCACAGGGTTGGCACTAGAAGCTTTCTTTGGGCCCATGGTGGCTTATTTAGCAGTCATAAGCACTAAAAACAATGGAATAATTCAAAATGTATCGAATGTATGCATGGAACCAGCCACCCTGGCTTGTAAACAATGACGGCAGGGCATCTGAGGCACTCAGGCTGGATGGACAGGTTCGGGACAAATCACGTTGGTCGAGTTTTTCATCGTTGGCCGGGCCAAAATTTTTACGCTCAAACGCTTTGTTGGGCGAATTTATCGTTAGACGATGCCTTCATTAGCTGAGGGTCCACTGTATGTGAAATATCAGTGAAAGGATTTAGGGAACCCAATTAGCTGGACTTGAGTCCTGGAGGTGGGAAGTACAGTGCCTGCACTCTGAAGAAGGGGCGGAGATATGTTGCAGTTTTTGAATTGTAGTATTGCCATGCCTCTGGCAAGATAGTGATGGAGTGAGTGAAGATGAAAGTGTTTCTTCTTTTTCAGGTCACCCTGCCTCTGTGGGGAAATGACAATGTGTTAAAAATAATCAATGAAATGAAATATGATGATTATGCAGCATATTCAAATAAGGTTTTTGTCTCCTTGCAGACAAGCTTTCACAGAAATGTCTGTTTTACATGACTTGTTGGTAATAGTGAAGCAAAAGCCTCCAGTCTATATGGTGTTGGACCCTGTACAGGCTGAACCTCTAGAACAGAAGAACTACATACAGTTTCTTGCTCTTAAAAAGGTAAGATTTCCCTTACATTTTTCATAAGAAATATTTGGATTTTAGGTAGTATGCATTGTTCCTGCCAAGTCAAGTTAGACACCTTTAGTAAAATGCAGTGTTCAGAATGTTTTTGTAGTACACTGGTGATAAGCCGAGGTAATGTGATTATCTTGTTGTGAATGAGAGTCCAGTATTCTTGAAGAGCATCATGTTAAGGTAAGATGTACTAGGCTTTATAATTATTTTGAAGATGTGATGAACTGTAACAATCTGGAGGTTTAGTAAGAAGTCTCTTAAGCCACAACCTGCTTATCCATTTAAATCACAAAAGTAATTTCACTCATTTTCATGCTTCTTTTTATTTATAAGAGTAGACTTGAGACTTGGGCTATTGTAGAGAGTTGCAGAGTTTAACTTGTCAGTCGTAATAAAGTTGGTAGAATTACCGACAATATGTAAAGTAAAAGGACACAAGTGCAACTAATGTGACATTTTATTGTGGCAACGTTTCGCTCTCCAGGAGCTTTATCAAGCCTGGAGAGCGAAACGTTGCCACAATAAAATGTCACATTAGTTGCACTTGTCCTTTTACTTTACAACTTCTCAGTCACAAAATAGAAAAGTATCCAACAGTGAATGACTACACACATGTATCACTAACTACCAACCTATCCTAGTGAGGGGCTCTTGATCCATGGAACTGGACTTGAATCTTCCCCTACCTTAGATTGACTTTGAATGCCTTCCATTCTCTAGGCACGAAATTATCCCTGTGGGTTTAGCTTTTAGTGCAATTAAACATCCTGATACTCTATCTTGGGCTCTTCTTGTTTTAAAATAGGCCTGGAAAAATCTACCATTATCTTAAAATGTGATTTTTTTTTTGGAGGGGGCGGGATGTGGACTAATAAGGTAGCAGAATGCCTTGGTCAACAGCTCGATTGAGTGAGTCTTCATTATGAGTGAGACCACATCAAAAGAAATTCCCACTTTTCTCCTGACTAAGTGCAACTGCACCTGAGATGTTTATAATCTGGTACAATATAGTGTATTGAAGGCTTAATGCGCTTGTAATAACAACATCTCATAGAGAAGAAATCATTTTTCTAAGCAAAAAGTGCATAAAAAAACATTCTGATTTTAACCGTTGAGCAGAAAATCATATTTTTAAATCATATCATTTAAAAAATCATATTTTTTTAAATACAGGTTGTATAATTAAAAGATTTTTTACTACATGTCCTACATAGTACTGTATGTATGTATGTATGTATATGTATGTATTATGTATGTAATATATATATATAAAATATATATAATATATATATATATATATATATATATATATATATATAATATATATATATATATAATATAATATATATATAAATATATATATATATATAATATATAAAATAACAAATATTAAATATATATGAAATATATATAATTATATATATAATATATAATATATATATATAAATATATTAATATATAAAGAATCACACACAAAGTGGGAGTTGTCACAGTTTCTCTTTGCTGATGACACTGTGCTCTGGGGATTCTGAAGAGAAGTTGCAGAGATTGGTGATGAATTTGGTAGAGGTGCAAAAGAAGAAAATTAAAGGTGAATACAGGAAAGAGTAAGTTATGGATAACAAAAAGTTAGGTGATGAAAGATTGGATATCAGATTGGAGGAGAGAGTAAAGGAGGAGGTGCAATGTAATCAGATATTTGGGAGTGGACGTGTCCCGCGGATGGGTCTATGAAAGGGTGAAGTGAATCATAGAATTGATGAGGGAAAAGGGTTGGTGCACTTAGGAGTCTGTGGAGACAAAACTTTGTCCTTGGAGGCAAAGAGGGGAATTGTGAGGTAAAAGTTTTTAACCCACCCTTATATTGGGTGTGAAGCATGGGTATGAATTTGTTCAGCGAGGAGAAGGCTGGAGGCATGGAGATGTCATGTCTGAGGCAATTGTGTGGAATATAATGCAGAGAATCGTAGTTTGGAAGTTAGGAGGAGGTGCGGGATTACCAAAACTGTTGTCCAGAGGGCTGAGGAAGGGTTGTGAGGTGGTTTGGACTGAGAGAAGGAGCGCAACAGAATGACTTCAAGAGTGTATCAGTCTGTAGTGGAGAAGGGGGGTAGGGGTCGGCCTAGGAAAGTTTGGAGGGGGGGAAGGGTTTTGTGTCAGGGGCTTGGACTTCCAGCAGGCATGCTGAGCGTAGTTTGATAGGAGTAATAGACAAATGGTTTTTAATACTTGACGTGTGTTTGGACTGTGAGCAAAGTAACTTTATGAAGGGGTTTCAGGAAACCGGCAGGCCGGACTTGAGTCCCGGAGATGGAAGTACAGTGCCTGCACTCTGAAAGGGGGGTAATGTTGCAGTTTAAAAACTGTAGTAAAGCACCCTTCTGGCAAGAAGTGATGGAGTGAATGATGGTGAAAAGTTTTTCTTTTTCGGGCCACCCTGCCTTGGTGGAAACGGAGTGTGATAATAAAATAATAATTAAAATATATATATATATATATATATATATTAAAAATTTATATATATATAATTTTAATATATATATAAATTAAAAATTTATACTGTATATATTTTTTATATATATATATATATATATTATAAAATTTTTTTTAATATTTTAATTTAAAATTTTTAAAAAAATTTTTTTTTTAAATTTTTATTTAAAAAATGTTATTTAATTTTTAAATTAAAACCCCCCATTTTTCAATTTTTTGTTACAAAAAAATTTTAAAAATTAAAAACCCCTCTTTTTTTTAAGGAAAAATTAATTTAAAAAAAAAAATTTTTTTTTTAAAGTCCACTAGTACGTATGTTTGTATGTATGTATATGTATGTTGATTATGTACATATAATAATATATTTATTAATAAAATATTTTAAATAAATAATATATATATAAAAATATTATAAATATATAAAAATAAATTTTAAAATAATAAAATAAATACACTATATATATTTATTTTTATTATCACACCGGTGATTCCCCACCAAGGCAGGGTGGCCCGAAAAAGAAAAACTTTCACCAAAATTCACTCCATCATGTCTTGCCAGAAGGGTGCTTTACACTACAGTTTTTAACTGCAACATTAACACCCCTCCTTCAGAGTGCAGGCACTGTACTTCCCATCTCCAGGACTCAAGTCCGGCCTGCCGGTTTCCCTGAATCCCTTCATAAATGTTACTTTGCTCACACTCCAACAGCACGTCAAGTATTAAAAACCATTTGTCTCCATTCACTCCATCAAACACGCTCACGCATGCCTGCTGGAAGTCCAAGCCCCTCGCACACAAAACCTCCTTTACCCCCTCCCTCCAACCCTTCCTAGGCCGACCCCTACCCCGCCTTCCTTCCACTACAGACTGATACACTCTTGAAGTCATTCTGTTTCGCTCCATTCTCTCTACATGTCCGAACCACCTCAACAACCCTTCCTCAGCCCTCTGGACAACAGTTTGGTAATCCCGCACCTCCTCCTAACTTCAAACTACGAATTCTCTGCATTATATTCACACCACACATTGCCCTCAGACATGACATCTCCACTGCCTCCAGCCTTCTCCTCGCTGCAACATTCATCACCCACGCTTCACACCCATATAAGAGCGTTGGTAAAACTATACTCTCATACATTCCCCTCTTTGCCTCCAAGGACAAAGTTCTTTGTCTCCACAGACTCCTAAGTGCACCACTCACTCTTTTTCCCTCATCAATTCTATGATTCACCTCATCTTTCATAGACCCATCCGCTGACACGTCCACTCCCAAATATCTGAATACATTCACCTCCTCCATACTCTCTCCCTCCAATCTGATATTCAATCTTTCATCACCTAATCTTTTTGTTATCCTCATAACCTTACTCTTTCCTGTATTCACCTTTAATTTTCTTCTTTTGCACACCCTACCAAATTCATCCACCAATCTCTGCAACTTCTCTTCAGAATCTCCCAAGAGCACAGTGTCATCAGCAAAGAGCAGCTGTGACAACTCCCACTTTGTGTGTGATTCTTTATCTTTTAACTCCACGCCTCTTGCCAAGACCCTCGCATTTACTTCTCTTACAACCCCATCTATAAATATATTAAACAACCACGGTGACATCACACATCCTTGTCTAAGGCCTACCTTTACTGGGAAAAAATTTCCTTCTTTCCTACATACTCTAACTTGAGCCTCACTATCCTCGTAAAAACTCTTCACTGCTTTCAGTAACCTACCTCCTACACCATACACTTGCAACATCTGCCACATTGCCCCCCTATCCACCCTGTCATATGCCTTTTCCAAATCCATAAATGCCACAAAGACCTCTTTAGCCTTATCTAAATACTGTTCACTTATATGTTTCACTGTAAACACCTGGTCCACACACCCCCTACCTTTCCTAAAGCCTCCTTGTTCATCTGCTATCCTATTCTCCGTCTTACTCTTAATTCTTTCAATTATAACTCTACCATACACTTTACCAGGTACACTCACAGACTTATCCCCCTATAATTTTTGCACCTCTTTTATCCCCCTTTGCCTTATACAAAGGAACTATGCATGCTCTCTGCCAATCCCTAGGTACCTTACCCTCTTCCATACATTTATTAAATAATTGCACCAACCACTCCAAACTATATCCCCACCTGCTTTTAACATTTCTATCTTTATCCCATCAATCCCGGCTGCCTTACCCCCTTTCATTTTGCCTACTGCCTCACGAACTTCCCCCCACTCACAAACTGGCTCTTCCTCACTCCTACAAGATGTTATTCTCCTTGCCCTATACACAAATCACAGCTTCCCTATCTTCATCAACATTTAACAATTCCTCAAAATATTCCTTCCATCTTCCCAATACCTCTAACTCTCCATTTAATAACTCTCCTCTCCTTTTTTTAAACTGACAAATCCATTTGTTCTCTAGGCTTTCTTAACTTGTTAATTCTCACTCCAAAACTTTTCTTATTTTCAACAAAATTGTTGATAACATCT